ATTCAACAAAAAACTAACGATGAGAACTGTTCGGGAATGCCGATTGCTGACTCCGGATATCTTGAATAATGTACAGACAGAGTAGACTGTATTATTGTATGGAACTAAATGGAGACCATTTTGAACACTCTATTCCTTGATTGTGTTGTGGTTGATAACACTTTTGTTGATTTCCTCAATAAAATGAACGACAACGAATTTTCTGTTTTTTCTTAAATAAAACGTTTAACATTCAATTTCTCAATAACGAATGAACCAATTTCGAAAAAAATTACAGAAGTAATAGAGGGACAAAACACCTTTCAAATAATGTATCACTCGACCCTCCTGCCTTTGAAAAAATACGAGAGATAGTTGCTGACCGCAGGTGGGTGAAGTTTCGAGTATGATTTCCATATCAGAATTAGTCTCCCTGAAAATAAAAATTGACGTTTACTTTGAAATTTTAGATTACACGTCCGTTTCTGACTTACAGGGGGGTCAAGTTTTCGTTGGAACGCCCTGTATAGGGTATTTCATTTAGCGCTTCTTATCTTCAAATTTCAATAAATTGAAGTGTGTGTGTGAGATATCAACGAAATTCTTTATTCGTTTGAAAGATCTATTGATGGCATTTTGTGTGGCATATATCATCGTTCAAAAGTCCGCCACGGCTTCTCTGGGTGGAACGCATCCGAAGAGTCCAATTTTCTATGATTCTGACGCATAAATCGGGTTGAATTTGACCGATAGCATAGGTTATGTTGGCTTTGAAGACCGCTGTAGTTTGTGGCTTATTCGCATACACCTGCGACTTGAAAAAAACCCAAAATGAAGAGTCCAACGGGGTTAAATCGCACGATCTCGGTGGCCAGTTCACATCACCTCCACGTGAGATGACTAGCCCTCAAATCGCTCGTCCAGAATATCCAGTGTGGCATGAGCTGTGTGGCACGTAGCGACGTCCTGTTGAAAACACATGTCGTTAAGTGTCCAGATCATCCAATTCAGGCCAAAATAAGTTAGTAATCATCGACCTATAGTGCTCGCCGTTGACAGTGGTGGCCTGGCCAACGTCGTTCTCAAAAAAATATGGACCGATGACGCCACCAGCCCAAAATCCACACCAAACAGTGACTTTCTTGGGATGTATTGGACGCTCTTGGATCTCATTTGGATTGTTATGGTCCAATTTTGTTTGTACCCATTCATCCAGAAATGGGCCTCATCGCTGAAGATGATTTTTCGATGAAAATTAGGGTCAGCCATTCAGCGAACACACGTCGTTGTCTGTGTTCGTTCACCTACAGTTCCCTGGTCAGTTGAATTTTGTATAGGTGCAGGGCCAAGTCACAATGGAAAATTTTGCCAAGTTGGGGTTTGCGAAAGGCTGAGTTCCTATGAGCGACGCGAAATCGACTGCCTCCGTGCCACAAGGTTTGTTCTGGTTCTACGAAATTCAGGTTCTATGACGTCAGGATCATGCCCAGTAGATATAGGGCGTTCTGGTTTATTGAGGATGTGTTCGAATTGACGAATCCTCTGTACCAGTTTCGACTGCAAAATGATCCTAAACTGTCTTGAACCAGGGGTCGAGAACTATCGATGGCGCTATCGATAATTATCGATAGTTTCAACTATTGAACACTATCGATTATATTTTTAGACTATCGATGGTATTCGATAGTTGTGTTATGTGAGTGATGTCAACGTATCTTGACATTTTTTACTTGATATTGACCGTTGACATGAATGACACATTGAAAGAAGTGAAAAAAAGAGTAGAAAATAACATTATTTAGAACAAAAGTGAGAAAAGAAGAGAAAGATGAAACTTGTTTCATCAGTTTCATTTGTCATAATAGGATAAGTCCATCCAGTCATCGAATGTATACATTTTATGGTTTGTTTTGTTTTAGTTGTAGTTGCATTTTTATTTTTCTTCGGCTTTTAATTTGTACGTTTAATAAAAATAGACAAATTTTTAATAAAAGAACATGGTGCAAGTACGAGCAAGGCAAAAGGTAATTAAAAATGATTATAATGTCTGTTTGGCTGATTATTTTAGCTTGCACTTTATATTAGAAGTATTTGTTTTTAACAAGGTGATTTTTTACAGGAAGAATTTCACCAGTTTCATGTACTGAGGACGAGGACTACAAATTGATAAGATCACGATCACCACCAGGTTCACGTCATGAAACTTAAAAAAATAGTTTACTATCGAAAACTATCAATAATTATCGATAGTCAAAAGTCAAACTATTGAATACTATCGATGGTCAAGACTATCGATAGTACTCGATAGTTCTCTGTTGAGAACTGTTCCCGTTGCTCATACGCAGTCATGTGGAAATTTGTTTGGGATATTTTCTAAGATGTTTTTTTTTATTAATCGATTTGAATAATTGATTATTGAGGTTAGATAACATTTGAACTGACTACAAGGATACGCTACATTACAAAATGAACATCATCAACAGTATTTTCTCGTCTTCATCTCTTCATATATAGGTACTATAGGTGGCACAGTGGTCTCCTCAAAATGCGTTCTGGTTTAACCAAGAGTCCGAGACTATTTCGAACTGCTTCAGATTTTTTGCATGTACGCATCATGTCTTGCGCAGGTTACAAAGTTTCAGATGTTGAAACCAGAACAAACCTACAGACAACAGCGATGATTTCGGTAGATCTTGCGTTTCGTCGACGTTCGGGTGTTGGTCGATCGTTTACTGAACCCGTGGACTCACTGCATTGCGAATAATCCTCTACGTAGGACGATCAAGACAACCGTGAAATGGGCGAAGCGCGCGGTACGTTGCCCGAACAGAACACCCATTTTGATAGAACAATTTTATTTTTTGCACGTTCTGTTAAATGATGTATTCGTCCATGTTGATTTGGCAAAACAGAATGATAAATGACAACTAATTTGACAGATGTGGCTTCAACAAGATGGTCGTTATCAATTGTCAATGTTTGGAAGTCCCTCTTGGAAAACCATGTACGTAGTATGTATCAACTATTGGTGGGTGCACGATAGCTGCTGGCCTATTATAGATACAAAAAAATATTTCGGGAAAAAGTTGTAGATTAACATAAGCTGCTTCCGGTCAGTAGAATAATATGCAGTACAATATCCTGATACAAGGTATATACGAATTCAGATTTTTCGAAAAAGATGTTTCAAGAAACAGAGAAAGATTGAAGCACGAAGAGTAAACGAAATGTGGAAAGAAGACAATAAAAGTTATCGATGATTGTGACGACTGAGTAAAATTACAACTGATACATTTCTGCAGGAGCAGGAATGGGACGTTCCTATTCCTAACCTCTAATTTCTTAGTTTTCTTTTATCTTGGTAAGGAATTAGCCTACTGCGAGAAACCAACGTAGTTATTGAGAAAATAGATTGATTCAATGAAGTTTTCTGTTCTACTACAAGATGAAGATTGAAGTTCTAAGAGAAATTGTAAATAGATTCAATTAATCACTTTTTCATACTTTCCTCAAGAATTAAATGAATTTTCGATAGAAATGAAGTAGTCTATTTCTACATTTTCTAAAGGCCATAGTGGACTATTCTGGGATGGCTCAGTGTTCAGGATGTTCCATTTGAAAAAACCTGATCGTGAGTTTTGTTTACCCCTGTATATAAAAAGCGCCGTTCGGTAAACTTATGAAGACGAAATAAAAATACACTGTTCCCAAGGATATTTGGTTGAAAAATGGCCTCATTCCATCTGAATGAACCCATTTTTTGATATAAATTTCCCTACAACTTCTTAACCACTCGGTATAAACCCAAACAACCCTATATTTTTGAGAAGCACTCCACTCGATAAATTCAGTCGAGTGAAACTATCTGAGATATTCTATTCGAAAAAAGTTTGATCCGTCACATATTTATTGGATACACTGTAAATTAGTGATGTTTATGGAACCATCTTTCATTTTTCTCTATGTCAATGTTGTTGATTGACATAATTTCATATTTCAAAACTCCTTTGACATCTGTCGAAGAAGTTAAGAAATAAATAATCAAAAGGAATAACTGCAAACATCTTAGAATTTTTTTGTCCATTTCTGGAGACAGAGGCAGATTTTGGTCTCCGAAACATTGTGGAAGGTAAAGAATACCCAAAAAAGGTCGATAAAAAACCATAGAAACGTTCCATAATGGATTTGTAAACAAACTTCATTATGTCAGGAAGTGAACGGTAATCAATTTGAACATTTACTGGAATGAGCTGAAGTGAGTTCAGATAGTTATCGTTTTTAAATCATCAAAACTAATACAAAACTGAAGAACGGTTGAATTGATTTTCAAATATAAAAAATGGATAGAGAATTGAAATGCCTATCAAACAAATTATCACAAGACTTCCTGTTCTATTTGAGAAAAAGTTGTAAGCGCCCTCTCGGCGATGAGTGATGCACATAAGCTAGTAGAAAAATTGTATTTCACATAATAGAATTGTGTCAAATAGAAATATTTCATTTCCTATCCAGTCCTATCCAGAGTTATTAACATTGAATCACCTAGTACATCAACCTACTTTATTGCCTTACTTCATACTTTGTGTGATATTTGTTCTATAATGTTGGAAGCCATTAAACTAGGTCGATTATTGCCGAAATATTTAGAGTCAGCAATAATGTTTTTTTGAGAGAACTGAATTGAGAGTGAAAGGACAGAAACGAAGGTGATTTTTCACAATCGAAGAAAACATAGTCAACTACAAAAACGACTCGATTATTGAATATGCTAATATTGAAATGTTTTCATGTTGATAAGCTCATGTACTATATACTTATTGGCACATGCGTTGCTGTCTGTAGATGGTTTTTGTATGCCTCTCTCTCTAGAGCAGTGGTCGTAAATAGTTGAGATTCTGTCACAGAATATCGGAACCGATAACCGACAAAAAAGGGGTGGCAGCATTACTTCGAGTAAGACCGCTGCGCCCTCCGACGAAGCTCCTGTCAATTTTCATAAGAGGAGCCTGGACAAATGCGCCCAAGTGGTAAGCAATGTCCAATGAATTTAGAGAGAGAGAGAAAGACTGCTGTATATTTTATTTCATATTTGAAATTTTGTCAGTTATTGTCGCTATAATTATATTCAACTAGAATTGTAAGTATTTCATTAATAAATGGCAAGTTTTCTGTAATCTCGAAGGTATCAACTAAGCTAGGTTATTAAACTGTAACTATTAAAGCCTTTTTTGTTTCCTGAGTTCCAAGTGAATATTTTTGATAGGTATTTGTTAAATGAAAAATTGAAAATAGTAGTATATTCAATGTATTAATAAGTATCCATATATCAATTTCCTATGTTTCGTTACAGAAAAATGAATACAGATGATGCTGAATATATTTTATCCCACATGAGAGGTTTTCCCCAATTCCAAATATCCAAGGAAGATATTCTTCGTCCCACCCCGGAAATAGTTTTCAGATTCTATTCCAAGTTCATTTCGGAATTTCATGAGAGAGCTACATTCATTGCTGGTACATCTCTAAACTTGCTCGATACAGATTCTGAATCAGGGGACCCAGAAGAACGCTTGTTCCAAAAAATGTCACAAATGTCAACACTTTTTGAGAAAGCTGGCATGAAATTTTTGCATGGAGACATTTATGAGCCAACAGTTGTAAGAACTAAAAACCTATTCAAAATTTGTATACACTTCCTCTCCTTCGTAGAACAAATTTTAGAAGAAACTGAAAGGCTAGGATCAGATATTTGCAAAAAGAAAGGAGACAGCGTCAGGATGGAAGAAGACCATCAAAATCTCATGAGTAATATTAATGAAGCAGCAACCAAAAAAGCAGAGTTGCTTGAGAGTGTCAATAAACTGAATGATGATCTGAAATGTATTACAAGTTTGCAAGAAGAGTATATGGAGTTCAAAGCCAAAAAAGATAAAAGTAATGATGATAAGAGAAAGCAAATTGAGATGATGAAGAGGGAGCTGCAAAAGGAGGAATATGATTTTGAAAGATTGGAATTACAAGAAAAAAAATTTATTGAACAAACCATCACCGAAAGTGAACACAAGACGCTTTTACAAATGTTAGACAACCTTGAGAATGAAATCAAATCTCTTAGTAATGATGATGTGAATATGGCTGACATCTTATTACATGAAAACAGCATATTAGAACATTATCAAGCGTGCATTAAAAGATTACCAGACGTGTCTGAATTCAATGTTGAGGTTGTGAAAAATTTTATTACCAATGAAGAACTATTGAACGACTTGGAAGTAAATACTGAAAAACTTCGTGACACAAAATTGACTACTGTTAGTCAGTCCAAATTTCAGAAAGACAAACTTCTGAAAGAAACTGAGTATTTGCTTTCAAAAAGGCAAGTTGAATATGAAAGTTGTAAGATGGTCTTCCTCAAAAATATAGAGGAACTCTTATTGCAGGTGAAGCAATTTAAAGAAGAATTAGAAGCGAAATATCAAAAAAGTATCAAGAGTATTTCATCTTACATGAACAACATTGAGAAATTGAAAAGTGATCTAGAGAAAATTCGAAATAGTTTTTGTGACGAGTACATAAAATTTTGTAAAGCTGAAAAGTCTGCTACAGATATGTTCACTAAACATTTGCAAATTCTTCAAACCATGGATGAAGATGGAAAGAGCATTGATAGTGTAGAAGAATTGTAGGTAAATGAAATAACATTTTTCCTCAAATCAATGCCAATAGTGATATAGTGGACTAAGGACAGGAACTTTGCTGGCAGTATTGAAAATTCAACAAAATATTCAGAAGATTGTAAAAATGTATTATAGGTATACTAGCTGTAAGAAATCAAGTTGTTATAGTTAGTCAATAATTAGACACAAAAATTATTTTTTATGCAAAATTAAGGAATTTTATTTCCGAGTTTTGTTCTGAGAATAAAAATGTTATTTATTTATACTATTTTTTTGTTATTTATGATTGTGATAAAGTAGAGGCGACAACGTCTTCTCATACAAATAGGTCATGTATGGAATTGATGAAAGAATTATTTCTCGAGGCTCTCCAAAGTTAGGTTAAAAACATTTATTTTTTAATTGTACTTTATAGGTTGTTCATCTTAAGAAGACAATGACGTCACAAGATGACAAGTTATGGCGATGCCAACATGTACAGTATTTCGAACTTTCAAATTTTGTTGTACTGTTGATATGTTTTATTGCTATTATCCTAACGTACTTTTAGTATTTGTTGAGAGTATTTCGACAATGCTTTAGGCATATTGAATATACGCAGGTCTTATCAAAAGTAATGATTAGTTCTGAAAAAAAAGAAAGACTGGCAGTTTTCGAGTTTTTTTCGATTTGGCAACGTCTGAAATTTTACTATCAGTTAAACAACTTACAAAATGAAATGTTACTTTCATTGCTGTTGAACGCATTTCAGTGGGAATTTTAACGTTGTTATGTTGTATATACAAAGTTACCAAAAATGACGTCATTCTCTTCTTGACGTGAACAGTCTATACCATATGATATTTCGTACTTCACAAAAAAGGTTCATTAAAAAGAATGTTTTCAACAGAAGATGTCCCTGGAGCAAAACTAAAATTTGCAACTGTAAAAGATAACAACAATGTTGTAACATTAAAACGTTGGCTTTGTTTTACATATGAATAGTTTATTATTGTTTGTCCCTACTATTAGTGCTGCCTCTCGTGACACGTTTGCTGTACTATTCTCAGGAAAAAGGCTCAATATTTCACCTCCTGGTAATCTGTGAAATGGCAATTCACCATTTTTTTGTGTTTTTTACTACAGTACAATACGCAACAATGTTAACTACCAATGCATTTATTTTTAGTTGAAGTACTCATTGATATAGTGTGAACAATAACAACTTCACGCGCTCTGGATTTAGATGTTATATGACCATAATATTGAATTATTCCATTGAACGCAATAAAATTAAAAGTTTTTCATTCACTTTATTGAAAATATATAAGTTTTTTCTCAATATGATGTCAAATTTGAGTGTTGCCAACAATGAAACACCTGTTATTCTATTGTCAGTTGTCAATTATCATGATTAATTTAAAATATTTTTGTATAATTTGCAATGAACTTAACTAGTGATAGTTCATTTCAATGTAATTTTTGAGGTGATAATCTAAGAAAAAATAACACAGTTATGGCTGGATCTGCTCTGCGAAGGCTTATGGCTGAATACAGACGTAAACCATAGTAATCAAAATGATGTATTTTTATATTCAAACTGGACTCTTTTCAGAATTGACATTGAATCCTCCAGAAGGAATCATCGCTGGCCCTATAAATGAAGAGAATTTCTTTGAATGGGAAGCACTCATAACGTATGAAAATAGATATTTCATTAAAAATTGTTTTATAGAAGGTTGAAGTAATGGACTTATGCACAACTGGTTAGTGAATGAAGGTGGATTAATGCACCAGTGTTGAACCTAAAACTTATGACTGGTGCATGAATGTTGCCATTGAAAATCGATCATCCAACTGCTTACAAACATTACTCAGGACTTGCAATTTACAAGGTGACTGGTGCATGAATCCACCTCGAGAAGAATTAGTTGTGTGGCTCTTGATGAGCATGTTCAACCTGTAACCAGTTAAAAATAATGATGAAAATCCATCTGCAGTTACAAGTTATTCCTTCTTACTAGTGTTCTAATTAGGTCTTGCAAAAAGTAATAACTTGTTGTGTCAGCATAATTTACAAATCATATTAAAAGTTACATTCATTAATGTTTCATTTTAGTGGCCCGGAAGGCACTTGTTTTGAAGGTGGTGTGTTTCCTGCTAAATTAGTTTTTCCTCCGGACTATCCTTTAAGTCCTCCTAAGATGCAATTCACTTGTGAGATGTTCCATCCAAATAGTGAGTATTCTGAAATAAGTTATTAAACATTTGGAATAAATAATCTATCAATAATTTTATTCATTTCAAATAGTTATACTTACAAACAGCTATAATAAATAAAGCATTGCCGCATCAAACGGCAACTTTGATATGGTGAATATTAGAGGTTCGAGTTTCCATTGTCCAAGAAAAGTATTTGGAAATTTATGAGAAAAAATATTTGAAATATTGAAAGTAATGAAAATACAAGAAACAAAAAAGAAGAAAAAATAATAAGAATGTTAATGTTATACAACTAAATTATTGTATTATTAATGAGATATTGAATGGGTGAAACAGTTAGTGACAATAATTTACAAACAAGAAATGAATTTATAAAATAAGAGGTAATAAAAATGCAGGGATTAAATGGTTTAAGCGGCTTCAGTACGTTTGGATTGTTAGTATCCACATCCATATTTGGCTGATAATTTCATTTTCAATATTTTTGATACAGTTTGTTTCTCGCAGATTTCGAATAATTTCTAAACTTCTTTAGACAATGGAAGTCTAAGCCAGTAACGTTTACCAAGAAACATTGCCGAGCATATTCAATTATACAAATCTTCTTTTTTCATTGGAATAAACAACCTATAATTAAATTATTTTCAGTTTATTCTGATGGAAGAGTCTGCATTTCCATTTTGCATGCTCCAGGAGATGATCCAATGGGATATGAGTCCAGTGCTGAGAGATGGTCACCAGTACAAAGTGTAGAAAAAATACTCCTTTCTGTTGTCAGTATGTTAGCAGGTAAATATTATGGTATTTATTGATATATCTTTGATTTTCAATGTTCTATAATAATAATTGATACGATGTATGTTAGTAAATGCAATACACCAAGTGTAATATTCATTTGGAAGTATCCCCGAACTTTTAGAGGGTGTTCTATCAGATATAATAGATGTCTGTGCTACTAGTATTAGGATTTTTCAACATTCCCTATATATTGTATTGTTTCTTTTTGAATTCAAGTCAATGTATTAATAATCGCAGTTTAAACAACTAGATCACCTGAATTAACAACTTATTGATGTATCAAAATTTGTATTGCAAATAATAGGTAAGAACTCGAACACTGAAATGTTTGTATATAGAATAACGTGAATTTCAATTTTTCCATGAAGCCAGGATTTGTTTTATAACTGTAGTAAAATAAGTTCAAACAAAACCTTATAAAACCCCAGTGGCCTGAACTCTTATTTCAAAACTAATAATACAATTATTTGTACAAGCAAACATTTTTTCAAAATATAAAAAGACAAAGAATAACCTACAGAAATCATTTGTAATTCGTTATCCCCATACGCACATTTTAGTAGACTAGCTTTAGATGTTAATAGGTTTTTCTGGAGAATATTTTTCGAAAACAGCGTGAATCCGTCCACTGATGAATAAGTTAATAAACCTCCGTACGGGACACTATATATATCAAAATGAACCTATATTATAGTATGTTCGAAAATAATTTGTCCTGACATATAATAATATTTAATTTGCCTGATTTACTGTTAGTGTTTCCCTCTTAGTGAAAATTAACATCACAACAGTATACCCATATCGAACTGACGTTTTTCAGAACCAAATGATGAAAGTGGAGCAAATGTAGATGCAGCAAAAATGTGGAGAGAAAACCGGGAAGAATTTGATAGAATAGCAGAAAAAATTGTAAGGCGAACACTTGGCATTCCTACATGAATTTTTATCTATAAATAAATGTTTTGTCACTTATAAAATGAAATTAAAAATTATGATTATTAGCAAAATGTTGCTTTATTCAAAAGAGAGGTCATAAATTCGAATTTGTAAATTATTCTATATCTTTAATCAAAATAAATTTCATTTCAACATACTGAATCGTCTGAAGTAGATTAGTGCTCTTTAATGTTGTGATTCCCACCTATCAAGTCGAAGTCAAATAGTAAACATAACAATACTCTCTAAAAAAGCGTACATGAAGACTGGCGTGCCTCAAGGCTCTATACTGGGTCCGCTCTTCTTTTTAGTGTATGTCAGTGATTTGCCAAATGTCAAAATATCTGGACATTTTACACGGTATGCTGATGTGTAGGAGAGTGTGTGTGTGTTTTTTTCAATTTTTTACTGGATAACTATGTAGATCCACAAATGATTTTGAAAAAAACATTTAATTTAGAGTCTTTTAAATTCAACAAAATTTTAAATTCAGAGATGGAGTTTATGAAAAATCCTAGTTTTAAATCGGAATTAACAAAATTTTTTTGTCAACCATCTTTGGTTATTTTCACCATACACAATATGTAATTGCACAAAATCCCTAATCCAACATAACCAAGAGATTGAATTTCATTTCGTTTCATGGCACAAAAGAATATTATGTCAAAATAATCGTGAAGGTTTTGAATTGCTTAACATAACAGAAAAGAATTCAATTAAGCATATTTTCAACAAATGAATTACTGTTTTACCTAATGGAAGAAAATGTAACAAAATTACTTGAGAGACTGTTCCAAACTACATCTTTCAAATTAGACACATTCAAAGCATCCCAAAATAAAACTTCGTGTAATTCTGCTTATAGTTCCCCAAATAAGAGTCGGGCATAGACAGATCTGGCGAACGAGGTGGCCATAAAAATGGTTCAAACACTTTTGTTGGGAAGTGGAGAGGGGCACCATCATGGTGAATTCTCAACTTTCGCAAGTGATAAACTGTGCAGAACTTTCACGTTTGTGTCTTGTAAAATATCTTGATATTTACTTATGTATCTCTCTTCAATACAGTTTTCAAAGAAATATTAGCTTGGATTGGATGAAAGCAAAAAATATTTGCCATTCAAGTTTTATTTGTAAAAATGTACATAAACAACAGTATCATTTTGCAATGTGTGTCACTAAAGTGATGTGAATTATGTCCGTTGAATGAACCGGTTATGACCTCATCAGTCCATATAATTTTTTCTAGAAATCCTGGTCACCACAATGTTATGTTGAAACAAAAATACTATCTTTATAAAATGTTTACCGTAAAGTATGAAGGAAAACCATCAAGAGACACAAAAATATATTTTAATGTTCCCCTTGAAAAACACATTATCAAATGGTGGAAATTATATTTTTGTGAAATCTGATTTATTCCATTTCGTTATCTGTGTGCTTCTTCTTCTTCTTTTTCTTTTTTTTCTCTGATCCAAGACCTTCTGCTTGCTCTTTTGCCGGCGTTTCCTCCTGGGATTCATTCATTTCTTGTTTAACCTTCTTCTTTTTCTTAGGAGTCTCAAGTGTTTCTTCCTCTACTTGTTCTACATCCTCAATTTCCTGTTTCATTTTTTTCTTCTTCTTCTTGGGAGGTTCTTCAGATTCTATAAATAACAGAAGAAAAGTTAGTAACATGTTCAATTTTTATTCAACATTAAATTTTTCATAACCTTCGTGTAGGAATTCAACTGTATTCGTTTGTGTAATAGTTTCACATTGAAGATAACTTCATTGAATTGATAAAACTTTTCGCTCTCACCTTCCAATTTTACCTCTGATGTACCTTGTTCTTCATCTTCTACCTTCTCAGCCTTCTTCTTCTTCTTTTTCTTTTTGATGGATCCTTCTTCTACTATGCTGTCATTGATTTCGTCATTGATTTCCTCCTTGACCTCTTCTGGTTCCCTCTTCCGTTTACCAACAGAAGGGAGTGTGGAATCAGCGGCATCGGGATATTGTTTGATTTCACTGATACCATGATACTTCTCGAACTTGGCTTTCGCTTTACCTGTGCCACTGATCCTTCGGATATTTCCTTCTTCTAGTATCCTCAACCTAGCTTCCAATTTGGCTTTATGTTCCACCCCTGAAAAAAATTGTTGACTTGTACTATAACTGAAAATATATATAGATCAACTATTATTCCGACTTGTGTCACGGAGAAGGACTGATAGATAAAATAAAATGATAAGTGCCTCCGGACAGTAAACACATTTCCTAAAGACTTTCTATAATTTTTATCAATATTTATCACTTGTTAAAAATTTTAAATTTTTTCATCAAGTGTCAAAACAGGTTTCATTCTCCAGATATTAATCTGCCTCAGAATTAATGTTTTTCTTGTATTGTTTATAATTTTCTAAAATGGACTTCAAGTAATATCAGTTCATTTCAACACAAGATATTTAAAGGTATTGAAATAGATGAAATAATTTGGGAACTATAAAATTGTGGACCTTTCGAAGCTCAATACAGACCATTCACAGACCTGCAACTACAGACATATTACTCTTCTTCCAGTGTTAGGAAAAAACTTTAGAGAAAATCATCAAAAATGTATCTCAGTGAACATATCGATATACCAATTTAACAATTTGGTTTTAGAGAAAATTGAAATAAAACCCATCCTATAGTAATTGTAACATCTAACGTACAGACAGCGCACGCATGACCAACCTACACTCTGTATATCAATAAAGCTTTTGATAGGGTTTGGTATGAAGGAATGTTATATAAACTTCACGAATTTAACACCCCTATCCATCTTCTCTGTATAACAAAACAATATTTTGAGAACAGAACCATCGGCGTCAGAGTCAGAAATTCATTCTCCAAAAAATTTGCTCCTCAACAAGGAGTTCCACAAGGCTCTCCGTTATCTCAAATTCTCTATAATATATACTGCAATGATATACAATCACAACTTGGAAGACAAGAATGAATTTAATGAAAACTTTTACATGTTACAGTATGCAGATGTCAGTGCCTTAGTTTTACACAACCACACGCTAGCACTCACAATAGAGGAACTGCAAAATCTTGTCGACTGAACGTTCGAAAAATGGAGATCGAGACCAAACCCGGAAAAATCACAATTCATCATTTTTCATTACAACCCTTCAGAGATACTACCATCAATAAACATCAACAACAAAATGGTAATAAGCAGGCAATCAGTAAAATACTTGGGGAACATTGACCACAAAATCAACCTGAACAGCCATACAAAAATGATTAAAAAAGAAATGCATCAGTAGAGGAAAACACTTTCGGAGTCTGACATTTAAAAAAAGAGGAATCAACACTAAAACTTCAACTAATATAAAATGATCTGTCGTCCACTTCTCGTTATCGTAATCCTACATTAAAAAATCTCCAAACAGCTGAAACATCTACACTGAGTATTACCAAAATTTGTCACCCTCAGAACATATTAAACAATCCCTCAAATGCACTGCTTTATAGAACTACAAAAGTGAAACCTATAAAGGAGAGACTATCAGACCTAGGAAACTGCTTTGCCAAAAATGAAACTAGCTTGTGAGACCCTACAGGCATTATGTAGGGAAAGAGCTGAAGGACAACCATCCAAATTCAAATACCCGGAAAAAACTATTTGGGAAAACATCAAATCACTCTCATAATTTATATTTTTTTTGTCAGAACTATAATGTACCTCAAATCTATTATGTAAGCATATGTAAAAATCATTGCAAATGTTTAAAAATTGTACATTGGCTGAAGGACTTCGGTCGATGGCCTTTTGGTATTCACCAATAAATGATATTTATTATTATGAAGAAGATCCCTTAAAAGTTTTAAACCAAGCGTGTGAAAATGAATAATTATTGAAACTCATTTGTGGTCCAAATGTGATTAATCAAAATATTGAGATGAAGTATAACTCATGATATTCAGTATATTTCAAAAATACTGTTGAAGATACAACAACAAAAATCTGAAATATTATCGATTCTATTCATATGAATTTACAGTAACTTACTGGGTCAACAAAATGTCATTCTCCTGCCTGCAAAAAATTATAACAAAAATTTACTATCGACTATCTTACCTAAAGAGCAAATACTATCCTCTCCTAAGGCATCAACTCTAGTAGCTAGAGCGGCCTTTGCGGCCAACATTCTAGACATTTTTCCCTTGTTTCTTGTGCTACTCTGACCCACCAGTTGAGCATGATAGATGAGACCATACTTGGGGGTATCCTTTTTCGTCTTCAACGCTCTAAAGAGAGCTTTTTCCGCACCGAGTATTTGAATGGTAGAAGCAGGTTGCTTTGCTAAATTTATCAAAGATCCAGCATGAGAAATCAGCCTTGCACCTACCAGCTCACCAACAAGAACGGTTAGATTTGGAGCCATGGCAATCATTCTAGCTTTCAAGTAGTCGAACAACTGTGTTCGGTAGTTCATGATATCGATCACTTGGTCACACAAATTTTGGATATTTATGATATCTTCTTCGGAAATTTCGGTTCCCATAGAAATCTCAGCGGCCTCTTTTACTTTCTCCTCTATATCCTCCGGAAGAATATCAGACAAGTCTGACGTTGATGTGTTTTCTCTGGTACCTATGATCTTGACAGTTTTTGCGAATACAAGGTTATCTGTAATAATCTTTCCTAGTTCAGGAAAATGCCATCCGTACCACTCCCGGCATCTCATAATGTAATTGTTTATTTCTTTATCTAAATCATCCAACAAAGACACAGCCTGCACAATCATTGTGTCAACTTTATCGGGTGAGAATTTTAACTTGTATCTAGACAAAGAGTGAGCTAAACCCAAAGCCATTGCTGTCATCTCCTTCTTTGGCAAGCCTGATATAAGGCTGTCGAGCTGGGAACGGATGCATCTCATCAATTCCTGAACCGCATTATTCGAGAGACATTGCACACTGAATTTTTCTTTAATTGCTGATCCCAGTTTTGCATCTGCTACAAGGAGTTGCTCTTGTAAGTCTGTATCTACATGTTTCTTGAGTACTTTCTTCAAGCTCTTTGAAATTTTTCCTTCTACTGCTGCTGTAGTTGCTGCTAATGCTTCTGTTGTATCAAGAAATTTTTCAAAATGCTTGAGTTTGACACTGAAAAATAATTTTTAATAAGATGTACTGTATACACATATTGTGTTATCAAACTGTATTGGTTAATTGAATAAAAGAAGTAATATACACTTTTTTCAAGAAAAAAAAAAAGCTGTCAATGAAAATACATGAACTTTTTTGATTCCTTGTTTTTCCTAAGTTGGAATTAGTGTCTAATCACCAGTTCAAATCAGGGTTGCTGTTTACTTCTTGTATTACTTCACAAATTACTATTTTACAATTTTCACAACTTTCTTATTCTGAAGGTATATTTCAAACAGGCAAAAGCTTGTAACCAATTTAAATTTCCTACTGGCGGCAGAAGCGGTCAAAGTAAATAGATCAAGATTATCATCTGCAGATATCTTGTTCAATTATTTGTCGACAATTTCTAAGATTTTGAGGCCAGTTGATAATGTGATACTACTGTTCGACAATTTAATGTTTCCACGACTAATAAACTCCAGGTATTTCATAGTAAGTACATTTTATATTGTAATTAATATTAACCTCAAATTAGGAATGGCTGTCTAAAATTCCTTACTCACGAATATTTACATTGCCAAATACAGAAGTTGGATTATGGAATATAAAAGAGTGTATTTACAAATTAAAGCTGGATTTATTGATTAAGTAATGCAGAGATATTATTATTAATGCAAAAAATAATCCATAGATCAAGCACAAAAACCTTTCCAGATTTTTCAAATTTTACACAACTTAATATATTATTAAAATACAGAAAATGCCTATTCAAAAAGCAGTGAATAAAAAAACTGAGCGAACTACAAAAAGTCCAAAAATGAAAATAGGGATTGGAATCTCTGAGTAATAATACTGAAAAAATTTTCAATTTGCACCTTATGTTATTATGGAACAATCTTGTGTTTCCACTTGAAGATTTAATTCTATGTCCATACTGATGATTATTCATATACATGAATTATCGCAATATTGTAAATAAAACCAATGCTTCAAATGAACTTACATATTTCCTGCCGATTCGGGACTTTCAAATGCCTTATATAAGTTGTCGGATTCTTTGAGTCTCTTCTCATCCAAAAGCTGAAAGCATGGTAAAATTTAGGTTAAGAGTTATTTTGTAATTTATTGGTAACAAAGTACCTTGAATATCGCATATCCAGCTGGAGTTTCGAACAGAACCAACATTTTTCGCTTAAAAGAGCCTAGCTCTCACTAACTTATATTTATAAATGAAATTTTATTTCAAAAACATAACCACAACACCAAACACCTCGAAACGTTGGACTTATGTCTCCCCTTTGCACGCTGCACGAGAACTTCGACTCTTCACAGCGTTGCCATGTTGCCACAAGATATTTCTTCTTCTTTCATATGTATGTTCGTTGTTTCTTTAGTCAGGCCATTTGACCAGCGCGCCTCTCAGAGTATTATTCTGCGGTGCGTCTCCTAATACTTAATAAAATAGTGGCTTCAAGTCAAACTGCACCCGTTTGACTTGATACCGTACCAAAGATGGGTATCCTATATGTAGCATTACTTATTTTCTGTTGTTAATTTGTCAAAGTTTTTGTGTGTATGCAATTATATAACAGTTTTTTGCTTATCAGTTTGCTAGTTATACTCTTTTTTTTTAAAGGGAAGAAGTTTGAAAAAGAAAAACAGTTCAAAACAAGGGTTTCAGTCGAGGGTGGAAGACAGTTAAAGCGACCGCTCACTACCATTGTGTTTTCGTGAATATACTAGAAAATTCAGTGATTTCGTGCACATGCTTCATATATTAAAATATTGAGTAGCTTCCACGGACTTGATATCAAACGAATGGAATTTGACATAAGCCTTGAGAACTGAAATCGCTAGCAAAATATTTAATTTATGATAACGTACTACCTCAATGCAACAACGTAATAAAACTTGTGATGCACTGTTTGGAACCGTTGGTGTAATAATGAATATTACTGGAGTTTTATCCCAACACCAAACCGTTATTTCAACAACTGAATGTCAAACATAGGTTGTGTTTATTTATTTGCAGTTTTTTGTGTTATTTAATTGTGAATTCATGAAAGTGATGTTTTAGCGGGTTTATTTGAAACATGAGAATCTGATATAGTTGAAATAAATTACTTTCACTCACAGAAACCACTAAAAAACAAGAATATATGAAAAAAGCTGACAATACTTTATTTTTGTTTTGTCAACTGGGTCATTTTAAATATACCTGGTAGATACCGTATCTGAACAATCAACTCCTCAATAGTGACAGATTTAATGGATACGAAGAGAATGAAAGTGGCAACAACTCTCCCAACACTTCAACTGTATTTCCAACCACCCCTTGAAAACTAATCATTACCTTTTTTTTTTTTTCATTTCCTCAACTGTCAGTGGGTGACCAGTATTCGAGAAGACCATTTTTGAAAGGTAGCAAAAACCTTCTTGAAAGAAAACAAAAAATTGTTGGCGTAAATAATTCGTCATTTGGGACAGAATGCAAAAAGTATTTTGAAAGTCTACATATTTTTCTTTCATTATCTATTTCCGTTTCCAATACTTTCACTTTCTCTGTATTCATGAAGAGGACATTTTCTGCTTTCATGTGCTGAAATTGAATATCCAGAACATGAAAGATTTTGTCTGTAGCTGAAATCCCGTACTTACTGGAAAATTTCAACAATTCACATTTAATTTCGGCTTTAGAAAGTTTGGTTTACGGCGCATAACGTCAACATTTTAGCTGGGCCTATTTTTACAGCAGAGTTCAGTGAAGTATAGCTTTGCATGATATAAGGATAATACAATCGGTCTACAAAAGTGTTTTGTCAAGTGCTCTATTATTATTGCTAAAATTCATTAATGGAGTCACTGATAGATTGCTGTAGAATTTAGGTACTTGGCTGAATTAGAAGGTATTCAAAAGGACCACGGAATTTGCGACATCTAGTTTTAAAAATTCGAACATCATACTTTAGGAAAAACAATAACCGTTCACATGACGGACAAGGTCACAAAGATTCAAATAATCTTTGTTAAATTGCTATATCTGTTCATGATGCTCAGTAAATTCAAAAGTTGTTCAGAGAGCCATAATCGATGAACCAATCTGCAAATTTGTATGATATGGTGAGGAACATGCTTTACAACTTTACACATATATATGTAGGAAGTATCATACTTAATCCCACTTTGTGAGGAGATAATTTCAAAGGTAACCTTTGTAGTCAAAGAGAAAACATTTTTTCTGCACCAAATTCTCTACTTCACACAATATTAAATATTGATACTAACAACTACTTTTTCTTTAACTATCGGTTTATTATTATCTTTAAAACACCACATTATTTACACCAACAATAAGTTGTTCTTATTTTCAATACAAAATGTTTGTACTCAAAAAAAACACTTTAATATGAGATTTCCACGTGACAGTTTACACAACCGCAACACTTGTTTCGCTATACAATAGCATCTTCAGGCGTCACAGTACTGACTAAACGAATTTTTTGTCATGCTTTTATAATAATTTGCATCGGAACTATAACTACTTGACAATTTTCTATCTGATGAATTCATTACATAAAGTATTTACCTTTCTAGAAACAACTCATTAAACTGGAGAATAATGGAAACAAGTTCAATCTGAGACCTCATTTTACCTTTTTTCAAAATGTTTGACATTTCCTTTGTTTTCCTAGATATTTGCAGTGCTACCTTGCGGCACACACTATCTGCCAGTTCAAATTGAATGGCAGATAGTGTGAACAATCTTTGCAATGTCCTGGAGTTTCCTTGATATTTTATTTTGTAAAAAATCCTCTATTTACTGCATCAATCTAATACTTGTAATACAGCAAGTGTATGAAGACTAGATCGATTCAGGATCAAGATATATTCTTCACTATACTACCCAGTGAAAGACTTATAATCATTAAAAAATATATTTCATATAAGAAATAGTAATACCTATATCAGCCACCTTGTATGACAAGAGTCTCGAAAATGAATCTGCTTTTACATGAACACATCACAAATATACTAAAAAATATCACAAAATAGCATTGTTTGAGTCCAAAGGAAATCACTTTTCCCAAACATAACTGGTTGAGAGCTTAGGAGGTTGGACGATGAGAAAATTTTTGATGTCAAAAGTGATTTTGATTGAACTCATTCTGTCAAATGTTCTTCCACTTCAGAATAGTCGAGGTACAAGTATAGGGAGCGTAACTAATCCTAATATATATGCTGCAACATATTTTAAATTATTGCTGATGTGGAGGTAATCCGGTATTTTAGATGATTGGGATACTTCTGCTTGGGTAGGTAGAATCAAAATTCCCAAGCACGTAATTCCAACAGCTACAATTATTGTGTACCTCACAACATTTGTTTCTGAAGGTGAGCTGAAACAGAATGAAAGGTATACAATTATTTACAAGTCGAATATAATATGTAAGTAATCAACCCAAAGTTGTTGATAATATCGATATAACCTCACTGATTTAATGGAAGTTTTATTTTTGTAGTCGTAATTGCCAAATATCAGTATGACAAATAAAATTTGCCATCCTATAAAAATAACAAGTACATCCAAACCTCTGCTAGATGTAAGGTATACAGATGCTCATTGCTTGTGCAAGCGAAACCGTACCTGTGTACCACATGTATTCAGCTTGTATAATTAGCCCGTCCGTGACGGTGAATGAGCTCTACGTCGCCATCATCATGTCTAGCGATTTGAGGAGGAGCAATCAAGAATTATTGGAAGATTTTATTCGTGCATACGAAAATCGGCCGTGTCTTTAGCGAATTAAATCACCAGTATATCATGATAGGGTGAAGAAGGATGCAGCATACAAAATCTTCCTTAATAAGTATAGATTAATTGACAGCCAAGCCGATAAGGATGCCGTTATTAAAAAAATAAATGCCTTCAGGACTAATTATAGAAGAGAAAAGAAAAAAGTTGACGCAACTCATCGCTCCGGCAGTCGCACAGATGACATCTGTGTCTGTAGAGTAGGGAGGGTGAGTGTAAGTCCACGGCACTTTGGCCACATGTGACCCATTGTACATCCTCCCGAAGAGTTGTCCTCCTAGGTCACTGTCCATCCCATCCTTTCCAGGAAGGTGGACAGGTCACTGGGAGACCTCTCCTTTATATCGGCAGGTGTAGGCCAAGACTCGCCGAACACACACTCTGTTATTGACGATAACTCTGGTCATTTGCATAGGACATGCCTGACAGATTCATCTTCTTGTTCACTTATCCTGTATAGAGGTGTATCCACTTGCCCCATATTATGGAGAGGTGTTTCCTTAGTTGACAGTGGCCAGTCAGAAATCCTACTGTTAAGTATTGTAGGGTGTAGCAGGGGGTGTAATACAGTTTCTTCATAAAGTACTTTCTTGTGAATACGATATGAAAATATTGTTTGAATGATATAGAATTCTATTTCATATATTTATGTCACTATCTAACCTCTTTGTTGATATCTCCTTTTCTATTGTTTTCCTTGTCATAATTTCCTTGTAAGTACCTGGTAAACTCTTGGAGTCGCCCTCCGCAGTGTCTTCTTCTTCCTCTTCTTCTTTCAACATCAATGTTGCTTTGATATCACGATTACCAACAACCTATAAAAATTTCGTTAGTCTTGTTTTTTGTATAGCAACTGAAACTAGTAGGAAATTCATTTTTCAAATACTTTCACTAGATATCATAGATGGAGAAAATTTACATTTACGTGTTAGGAATCACACGTTAAAAGGTAAGACCTCGTTAATCCTTAGCTCGCACAAGTTTCGACTTCTGAGGGTTGTCGTTCGTAGGGGTGCGACAGCTGGTTAACGGAAAAACAGATTTTTTTTTTTAAACATCATTTTTGACCAGACGCCCCAGACGTTTAAAGGTAATTAGCATTTTTATATTGTTTTTAAGAACCTGCAAATAAATAATGAATATCATAATTAAAAAAAAATATATATAGAAAGAGAGAGAGAAGAGTGGTTTTTCGGGGATTCGGTCTGTTTAGAAAGTAAATGATACTCTTTTTAGCTGTCCGAGCTTTCCCTAATGTTTATTAGCTTTATCAAGGACTGTGCTATTTGAGAATATTTTCTTTAAACATTATTATGGAGCGAGTACACCAAAACCGGTCATATACAGGAAGTTACTTGCGATGAATCTTCCAAACAGAAGACATTGCACAGGTGCCTGATGGTTTTACTTCAGCTCCACCTCTCTGGAATATATTTGTTATTCTGACTCCTAGAAGACATTGAATATATGTGCCTGATGGTTTTACTTCAGCTTTCTGTGCTTCATTAGCTGTTGTTTTTTCGTTGGTATCTGCGACACATACCCACAAAATTGTAGGTCTCACATTAGAGGCAAGGGTTTGGTATTTTCACCAGAACTTGGGCATATCATATCCACCTCTTCAGAATATTTTTAATAGGGAAAATTCATGAACAAGGCACTCCAAATGATGCAAACGGCAGACACGTGTTTCTGGCATATTTATTTATGTAAATACACGGGCAAGCCCAATTCAGATATAAGTAGTACAGTGCTATGTAGTACTTGCTATGCAATATAGTTGATTGAAAGTAAGTTATAACAATAATACGATTCCGAAGTAAGATAACAAATAGATTATTTAAGAAAAAATTAAAATATATAACAATATGAACTAATATAATTCTTACAGGCAAGTAACACTAGACACAATACAACAACACAAGCAGAGTTTATTAGATAGCTAAGTGAAGAATATGGTTTTTAAAGCGGGATACTGATATATTAAAGATTTGAAGGTTATTCAAAGAGTTAGCCAATCGAAGAGTTCTGGGATTAAAGCTGTTATATGAATAATTAAATCTGTGAAAAGAAATTTAAAACGTTTGAACCTGTCTAGTTGAACGACTGGGGACATGTAAAGATATTTTGGAGAGAAGCTCGGGACTGATACTCAGTCCGTTGATAATTTTGAATAGAAGTAATAAATCTCTATGTTTTCTGTGAGTCTCAAGAGAAGGTATGTTCAAAATGCATTCCAATGCAGTATAGTTATAGTATACACGCATTTTGAAGGCAATATATCGCAGGAAATTGTGCTGTACGTCCTCGAGTTTAACTTTTTGTGTAACGTAATGAGATGACCAAACTGTGGAACAATAATCGAGATGAGATATAACCAGGGAAAAATAAAGAGATTTAATAGCAGTGATGTTAGTGAAATCACGAGTAGTTCTCTTTATAAAGCCAAGTATCTTCATAGATTTTTTAATTACAGCGGAAATGTGTGATTTATATCTAAGTGTGAAGTCTATGATCATACCTAGATCTTTGCTTTCAATAGCAGAATGTAAGGTCCGATTAATTATTTATACTATATTCGAAAATGATTGGGTGATGTGTTCGATGAGCGAAGAATTTGGCATTTGGATGCATTCAAACACATACCATTTTGCGAACAACAGTTAGATAGGCCATCTATATCGTTTTGTAGACACAATGTATCAGCTTCACTTTTGATTATTTTGAAACATTTGTAATCGTCGGCAAATAGCAAAGCTTCACTTTCATGGAAACAGCTGATTAGATCGTTGATAAAAAGATTAAACAACAGTGGTCCCAAATGTGAACCTTGTGAAACACCCGATATAACTGAGATGGTATGAGACTAGTAATGATTAATTCTAACAATTTGTTAGAGTTGTGTCACCATATCGTAAAATAGCTCTTGAGCCACTGCAATATTTGCCCATCAACACTATATAAACAAAGTTAATGGATCAATAGCTCATGATTAACTTTGTCAAAAGCTTTGGAGAAATCAGTGTAAACAGAGTCAACTTGCAAACCCTTAGACAGAGCATCAGAGAGAAAATCAATGTAGGTAATCAGACCCAGTTCAGCTGACTTTTTGGATGTAAATTCAAATTATTGGGTCTCTATAATTGGGGAGCAGTCATAAGTAAGGTAATAAAAAATGATGCTCTCAAAAATTTTAGGGATTGCGCTAAGAATGGAAATTGGACGATAATTACACACATCCGATTTTCGTCCTGATTTATATATTGGGGCGACATATGAGGTTTTCCAATAGTCCGGGAAATTGCCAGATGATAGGGAATTATTAAATATATAGGTCGAGCTAAAATGAAGCTAAATGATTTAAGAAAAGTTGAAGGAATTCCATCAGGACCGGGACCTTTGTTGATATTAAGTTCGGACAGTTTTTTCTAAATTTTAGAGATTTCAATATGATAATTGGACACATTAACTATGGATGTAATATTGGTATCATAAGGATGTAAATATTGACTTGTATAGACGGAAGAAAATTGATTAGCAAAAAGGTTAGCAATATCGATCCCATTGGTAGCAGTATGATTACCAGAAGTCATTGTATTAGGTATAGTGTTATTTTCCCTTTTGCTGTTCATAAATCTCCAAAAAGAGTTAACATTATTAATAATTAGAGTATTCAGTGTGTTGAATGTTATCTGTATAACATTGTCTGGATAATGATTTACATCTAGATCTTAAATTGCTAAATGCTGTGTAGCTTTCTGGACACCTTGCGCTCTTGTAGATCTTGTGAGCTAATTTTTTTTCATATAGTAGTTTCTTCAGCTCAGGGGAGTGTCAGCATGGAAATCTCCTTTCACAGATTTTTTTTCAAGGAACAAAGCGATCATAGATAGAATAAAGAATGTCGTAAAATATTGAAATCATATCAGAAAGCTCCTTTCCATGTAATGCACCATCCCAATCGATTGCTTCAAGGGACGAGTTTATCGATGCATTGTCAGCGAGAAGGAAGTCATAGTAATACTCTTCACCAGATGAATATTCGTTTGGGATTTTGAGTGGCAAATAACATTCAAGTTAAGGATGATGCGAATCTTCAGGAATTAAGATGTTGATAGCCTTTAGCCATACTGTCATCAGTATGGTATAGCCAAGTGCAAGGTTAGGAAACACTTGGTTACAAGATAACACAAAATCATGGAGTCACAGGAGCCAGCCGCACTTTGTGGTTTACGTTAGGCCACCTCGGTTTGGAGATTTTACTAAGGTCACCACGGAGGCAGCTTCAGCATTTTTTGGATTGCTTTGTCCATGAATTTTTCCTATTTTTGATGTTTATCAAATCTACTCACTAAACTATCATCTGTATCATGTACTGGACCTGGATGTCACCCAGGTAGCTGAAGCTGTACCACCTGCAAATCTTTACCAGCAGCATATGCAGAAATTACTTTTGTGAAGAATTCTGCACTGACACATGTCGTGACAGGTGTCAGTCCATTAACCTACAGTGTAGGTGAGTTGAGACTGTCCTAAACGAATTGTTCTTTTAGATCATTTTATTTACACCCAGTCTTCAAGTATGCCCCCTTACCATATGTGAAGTTTTTTTTTTTTTTATACGAGGAATTGGGCGATTCAGATATGCGATTGGTTACACCGTTCACGAACAGATGGGGAGATGACAAATATGTTGTTTGTCAATCGCTTCAGCCCAGTTCGAGAAATGATACCCTGAAAGGAATTCGATTTTTAATTATGGAAAAAATTGACTTCATGTTGATGATGGGCAATACCTTGCACTGACGAGTGGCCAAATATCCTGAAACTGGTCTGCAAGTGTGTTCCAATAATTGAGAATCGATTCAGGCAGTTGTGTCACCAACAGCAAATGCAGGAATTACTTCTGTGAAGAATCCTGCACTGTCACCTGTCGGATATAAACCAACGCCCTTTGTGGCATTAGCCAGGGGTGTAGGGTGTAGTTCTTTTCTGATAGGTGTTAGTCCATTAACCTACAGTGTAGGTGAGTTGAAACTGGCCTGAACGAATTGTTCTTTTTCTACTGAAAGAAGTATGTCATATTTACAAAATGAGAAACACACTTCCAAAATATCATGATGTACGCCCAAACTAGATATATCAAATTTATCTGTCCTACACTAGACCATCTTGATCTGGTGTTAAAGGGACCGATCTTCAAAGCATATAAGTTGCCAGAATGCTTTAGAAATTAAACTCTCTAGATTTTTTTCATAATTGTTTCATTTAAACAAGTTCTTCAAGTGAAACTACTATGTATGTTTTTTTATATACTTAGGTAACATAAATGTTTGTAATTAATTTGACATGTTTTACAGCCAATAGGATCTTGGATAAAATAAATGATTGATTTTGAGAATTGAAGGGCCTATCAAACTTGATATCACAAAATCTTATTTGCTATACCATTAATGTTTTATCAATAGGTTCTAAAAACAATATCATTCTATGTGTAAAGGCATCATGCCCGACTTTGATATCTTATCCAGTTCACAAGTAAGATTTGGCGACTTTTTTTGTCTGCATTGTATAAAAATTCAACAGAATATTAGGCGCAGTGCAACTATTTTTTTTATCCTTATGGCAATTAAAAGTAGCATTTCAACATTTCAAGGGATTCTCTTTTAGCAACCTATTTATATAAATATACCACATATGATATCTTACTTTTTTAGTAGAATGATCTTCTATTACTACTCTAAATTTATCTGTAATGTTTGCGTTCTCCTCTGTTGGAAAATTATGCCTCACCACTACATCTACTAACATTTGAGGTCCAATATTACCTTCTGGTTTTATTACTGAATACTTTCTTGAAGCTGTGCTCAAAACTGAAAATCTTTAGATTATTATAATGACTCACCATACATATTTCCATTATTACCTTTGTATTTAATTTTAAAATCATAGGGGTTATATATACTAAGCACTTGTTTGTGGGACGACTTGGAAGGTAAATAAAATTTCAACTCAGTAGGAAATACAAAAACTGGAATTCTAATATTTTCAGGCATTTCTGAATATAACTATTCACTTCAACTAGTTCTGACTAGGGGACAAAGATAATTAAAATAGGACTAACTAACTAGCTAGGGGTACGAGTGATAGACGTTGCAAAAAATGAACTCTCTCTCTCTCTGTTTTTGGCTTTTGCCTCCATTCAGGCGCATTAAGTCATAAAAACTGAAATCAAAAGCACAGATCAAACAAAGCATAGGTAACAATTGTTACAAAGCAGACCAACATCAAATCACATAATTTATTTCGTGGGTAAACTTCTCTCTCTCTCTCTCTTTCTCTATTCCTGTATGGCCATTGCTTCCTTCTCAGGGGCATTGGACCACGGACCACCACTCCTTGCATTTCATAATTTTTATCATAAAACAAAAGCTTCGTACGCAAGTCTTCTTACGTTATGCAACCCTGCGTCCGTTTTTTTGGTTTTTTAATTCTTTTTGTTTTCTTCTTTCCTTTATTCTTCTGTGTACCGAGGGGTTCATGACAAATAGCACAAAACATAGGTGTGATTAATGAAACTGAGGAACGAAAAAAAAAAGGAACGAAGTTACCCCCTCCTCATTTTATATTTTGATTTGATTTTCATCATAAATTTGTTTAATATTTTAACGATTCTCACATTCAGATATCTTAGGAATATACACATATCTAAGGATGCTGACATTCCGGTCTCTATTAGATTTTGGTAAATATTGTACTCAGGGATAATTTTGATGGGACTATATATACGCTATTCATGCACAATGTCCAGCTTTCAGTCTAATAATGGTTGTTATGTGTCATCTATTCATAGGATTCGTGTTCATCATTATTACTTTACAAAATTGAGAACTTTTGTATTCTTCCTCATTCTCATGAAAAACATATAATAAACAGTTATAACATTGTGCAATCGGAGGTATGTAGGGGGTTGTTACATATGTTAGAAAACAGATATCTACATACCGTGGGATGATATTTCTCTTAAATGTGGTCAATATGGTAGAAACCGGTACATATTGGGTTTCATCATCTATATTGATGCGTCTATTTATTCGTTTGATACTCAATACTGTGCAAGAGCTTTAAATCACTTTTTTAACTCGTCTTCGAAAAAATTCATACTTATTTCTAATACTATAGCTTTACAAGTTACGTTACACATCCTATAGGATATATACATCCTTTGTTGGTTAAAATATCTATATCATTGAATTAGCACTATATTATTCAATTCCACTCTTACTTCATTTTTTCCTGAAATTTTCATTTTGATAATATGTTCCAGCTTGAGATCACATATTTCTTTTGCTATTTTCAAGTAAGAAAATCTACTTATCTCTTCATCTCCGTTTTCTACAACAACTCTAAAAGGACCCCTTATTTTCTCACATATTTCTTTTGCTATTTTCAACTGAGAAAATCTACCTATCTTTTCGTCTCCGTTTTCTACAATAACTCTAAAAGAACCCCTTATTTCCTCACTGTACCTAGCTATTTCCCTTTCCCCCCTCTGAATCCTGTTCCCTTATTTCCATGTTTTCATTTTATCCAATATGTGAAATAGTATTGAAAAATCTTGTATCTCTTATACCTATAAATTGTATTCCTCACTCCTCCTGACGTAATATATTGCCTACGTCTCTATCAGCACTGTCCATATCATTATTGTCACTGTTTTGATTTTGAACTGTACTAATTTCTTTATAAGAGTCTTAATGTTTTTTTTTGGGGAAGATCCCTCTTCCCCCTCGCCTCCAACATGTCACCAGTAATTAAGTTACCTTCGTTATGTTTTCAATATCCAATTTAATTTAAATATCAAACCCAGTAATCAAAAGCCATATTTCAAAAAAAGAAAAAGTCAAAACTCAGAAATAGAGCGTGAACAAAATATTACAAAAAGTTTACCAGCACACTTTCTGTCGCTCGCCAAAAAGATGTTCACTCAACAATAATTTAGAAAAAAGTCTGGCTACTAAACGGCTAAACCTTATTTTCTGCTGATAAGTCCCTAGTTGGTGGCAGTGTTGCCAATAATGAATCGTCAAATTATCCACAAGCGTGTCTGAATTTGGCCAAGACCACACATTTTCAAAAAGTCGGCATTTTTAGATGAAAATGTATATTGAAATCAATGAATGTGTTGCTTTAAGGGTCAATCTCCTCGTCGATTGATACGAAATGTTCGATGCCTACGCGTTTACTTCTTAAGGCTCAGTTTGAGAAAATTGTTCACTCCGCAAAGAAATGAATTTAGAAGAATTCTAGAACTCGTGCAGGATTAATGTGTTCCCATCATTCAAACTTTGCAATGATGAAAAAAGATAAACAAATATACACTGAATATGCAATAGTCCTCTACTGCAAAAATAATTCAGTATAAAATGTGTGGGAAACATTATCAGTAATGCCAATTCAAAGTAGCACTTTCATAAGAGTTAAGTAGTAACCGGGTTTTATATATTTAATGTTGGCAATATTCATTTCGGTCATAACTGTCAATGTCAATATGCAAAATAAAGTCAGGGTGTGTAACCTATCGTGGTAATTATCCAAAATGAATTTTGTAAGAAAATTACCAGTAAGAATCTCCAATTACCTACGATCCTGGTAAGACTGGTTGTGTGTTGTAAACATTATTTTAACTGGACATAAAACTCACAACTAAAAACATTATTGAATGGACGTTTCTATTTGTTTTCTCTGTCACGTATACCATTGATATTTTATTGTTCTGACACCCAAACCAACAACTAAATAATTTTTCCTTTCTTGCACTGTTGCCTACAAAAAATAATTTGTTTGCGTAACTAACTTCACGGTGCAACAAATGTTTTAAATTATTTTTATCAATGAATTGTGATTATACTCTGGACGAATTTTCAATCGAAGTTGTGAATACTCAATTTGGATTCGACTCTATACGACATATAATTTCATTATGTCGTGCCTGTCACTTGTGAATTAGATTTCAATGAACGTTTTTTCGTATTTATCTGTATATGAGTATATAGGTATATTTCAAAAGATTTCAACGTATTCCATTTTTGTACTGTAGCACAAACGATAAATAAACCCACTCGCGAGAAACTGCTATTATCTGCTCCTTCGGCTTACGTCGACCAACTTCATTATCACGAGTAATCGGCAAACTTTTCGATCGTCGAATAATGCACTAATAATTTTACCTAAGTACATGTGTATTCACCACAAATATATTTTGAATACTTTCTAATTTTTTGGAGCTAAAAAATACATAAAATAGTTTAAATGTTACCTGTATAGAAAAGAGTAACGGATAACTTTTTCACTGAATATTTATATTAGTTCACTTGATAGCAACAGTGATGTATTTCACAAAAGAGGTGACATTTGATTTTAATGTGTTGTTCGGTTGGCTACCCTGTTTTGAAGACAAATATAACCCATTAATAAAAAATTTCAATTTCTCATTCCTACTTTGAGTCTTGTCTATGCAATAATCATGGCCATTATGCTTGTAACTATCAATAGTAACTACATGGTTCCACGTTAGAATAAATTGTTTGTTGTGAAATTCGTCAATATTTGGGGATTCAGTTGGGGAATTTATTCAAAAAAATTGTCGAATCTGAAAATTTTCTATTGGCGATATTGAAAAACAAACTTTTTTGGTTAGTTTCTTGTCAGCGCCGCCAAATGAGCTGTTGGTTGTGTGTTATGCTGTATTTGATTGAAAGGTTATAGTTGTGTCAAATATAATTCCAATTATTTTAGTGTTAATGTATTAGTTGACTATTTATTAAAATGGAGTGTTTAGTAGCTAATGTTGATCATATTAAGTTCGATATAGAAATTGCACTCTTAGAACAGTATGGAGCCTTACCTTTGCCTTTTGCTGGAATGGACAGTAAGTACATTTGATGATATATATTTTACTACATATCATCGCAAAAATTTTATTAAACAAGTTTTAATTACCACTATTTCTTTTTTTCAGAATCTACATCTGCTGTCTGCCAATTTTTCAATACACCAAATGGATGCCAAAAGGGCCCTCAATGTCCTTTTCGTCATGTTCGCGGTGACAGAACAATTGTTTGCAAACATTGGCTGCGAGGCTTGTGTAAAAAAGGGGATCAGTGTGAATTCTTGCATGAATATGATATGACTAAAATGCCCGAATGTTATTTCTATTCCCGATTCAATGCTTGTCACAACAAGGAATGCCCATTTCTACATATCGACCCTGAGAGCAAAATAAAAGACTGCCCATGGTATGATAGAGGATTCTGCAGGCACGGTCCTCATTGTAGGCATAGGCATGTAAGAAGAGTATTGTGTACAAACTATTTATCTGGGTTATGTCCTGAAGGCCCGAACTGTAAATACATACATCCTAGATTTGAACTACCTGCACCCCCTGATCAGAATCTGAAGGATCAGAAGAAGACTCCCGTCATCATTTGTCACTTTTGTGGCGAACATGGACACAAAGCAATTCATTGTAATAAAATGGTGGACCCTACTAAAGTTTTGTTTCTCCAATCTGAAGATAAACAAGGCTCTGAAAATTCGGAGGCTACTAGTGCTCAAAATACTTACTTACAGAAGATGCTACCAAAAAGACTGGAGGATGTTACTTGCTATAAGTGTGGCACTAAAGGACACTATGCCAACAGGTGTCCCAAGGGACACTTGGCATTCCTTTCACAATCTAAAACTAATAATCAAGAACCAACTGATCTGAACTTGTAAGAGTTTGATTTTGTTAACATTCGATTTGCACATTATTAGGGGTATGTTCTGATGATATAATTGAAGGATAGAAGTCAGAAAACTTCTAAAATATTATGAAAATATTACTGAGAGTTGTAATATTTGCCGTTGGTGTATGCAGAGAGGTCACCGTTTTGTAAATATGGTATATTAGAAAACCTTTTATTAATTTATATCAGTTTCTTATGGATTCAAATCGTTTTGACAATTTTAGTAAAAAATTTGATAAATCCGATCTGTTTTTCATTGTTCAAAACCCTATAAAAATATTTTGTCAAGGGGTGGTGCTGCAAATGCCACTATGTCGGTTTAAGAACTGAATGAATTTCCCGTCCACTGACCTTACACAGTTAAAGCTACGTAAATTAACAAACATAGCCAATAAACAATAATCTATGCAGCTTTCTGTATTCTGATGAATTTTTCTTTGTATATATTATAGTTATATCGCAATGTATTCATCAAGTTTAACCATTGCTCCTTATTTTTTTAAATGTATTGTTATAGTATAGTTGTTTTAATTTTCATCCTTGAATTTCACTTGAGTTTCTGCAGATGACTTGAAGATATTGAAAACAATTTTCAATCTTGCAATTGCTAAAGAACTATTTTAACGTTGGTGTATTGCAACGACCTTATGATACATATAAGAAAATGCTATAAGGCTACTTTCTCTCAAAAGTCATCGTCTCATCTTTTTCAGATGATGCACTTTTCAAAAAATTTGATGCAATATTTAATAAAAATAATTGATAATACTAATTAGTGATTTCTTTAGGACATCCTAATATACATACATTATTATGAAATATTCATTTCACATAATCATTAGTGTGTACAAGTAATTGTTGTCAAAGTAGTAACAAAATTAATAAAATAATACAAGAAGAAAAAAATTTACCATGATTCCAGGATGGTTCAAACATGTAGATATACATAACAAATATATTAGAAAACTGAAAAAAAATCAGGGGTGAGATTTTATATAGTTGAAAACCATTTATTGAATTCTTCAATGAAGGTGGGAGTTTATTATCCTCCTTCAAACCTTTAAAATATGATATAAAATTGAAATTTCAACACAACCAAACTTCTGTAGGTAGAACTCTTTTTGAAAATATTTCCACAGTTTGTGTGCCTTATTATTTGTAACAGACTAAGAAATTTGAAATAAATTTTTAAGGTATGTAGCATTCAAGAAAGGCTTGATTTCTAGCACTTGACATTTTGTCGAAATATCACAACTAAATCTCAAATCACTCATGTTCCCTACAACATTTTTTCAGGTAACAGAAGAGTTTGGTTCAGGTTTTTCTGTGATTCTAACTAGCACAGCCATTGATTACACTAATCATACTTTCCATGCTCCAGTAATTAGATAACAGCACTTGTAAATAGATATGATAGAATTGACCCACACTTGCCTAAAATTCATTATAACAAATTCAAAAAACATACTCTAATGTGAGATTTCAACATGAAAGTTTACAAAACCGCGAAACGAGTTTTGTGTGCTTTTATAATAGCACAACACAGAATTTGTACGAACAGTATTGTGACGCCCGAAGTATAGCGAAACACGTGTCACAGTTTTGTAAACTTTCAAATGGAAATCTCTCATTGAAGTGTTTTTTGAAACTTTCAAATAGATACATCATTCAATTGCAGTCGGACAATATTTGTATAGAAAGGAATCATTTTTAGTACTTTTTGATAGAAAAAGCCAATCATGTGACATCACTTGCCGCAGAGAGGGCTCTATCAAGTGTTTTTTCAAATAGAAAGGGGTCTTTTGGCCCTTCGCTTGAAAATTATTTCAATTCTCTATACTATGATCTTTACTGTTTTGAATTTGGATAACCGGTTGCGGAATCATTGGTGTATGTATTGGAGACTAGGAAAAATGGTAATTCGTTACTTTGCAATCAAAAAAGGGTTCAAACAGCTCCACAGTAAGTTCTCACAGGTTACACACAGTTTGTAATATGTAAGAGAAGGAAATTGTTGATTTATATATTTGTATGTATTGTATATTTGTTAGTTCTCGAAACATCATTTACCCACGGATTCAAGAAATTATGTCCAACAATCAGAATTAGTTCGAAAATCCAGTTGTTTTCTAATAAGATGGTGCGCCCTCACAATTAAAATATGCGGCATGTAGATTGGAAGGCGCGATCCATTGGAATGGCTTCCTTGTTCACTGGATTTGACTCCTCTCGATTTTTCCTTTAGGGCTATTCAAATTGAAAGTTTATGTTACACTACCTGTGCTAGCATTAACTCAGAAATATTTCAAAATGTTAGAAACGAGTTCAAAAATAGACTGTTTTACTGGTAGGACGTTCAAGCAGAACACTTGTTAAAATAAATTGATTGATGTAGCCGTTACTACGTGGGAGATCATAATGAAAAAAGAAATGAAAATTTCTGTTTTTTACTAGAGGTAAAGTGGTAAATAACTTGGACATTTTCATTTCTCTTTTCACTTGTTAAAATATAACGAAGTTGAAATGAAATGCAATCTTTTTGTGCCATTGAAATTAACACTTATCTATTGCAATGCATTGGTATTTATGGGTTATTTCTGTGGTTGGAGATCATTTCAAGATGGCGAACGAGTTTTGTAATTTATAGTCAGATTATATTCAAAATTAGAATCTGAAAGGATTGTGAGGTCGGAGATTATGAATTTTGGGTTGAAATTCAAGATGAGTTTTGTGATTAAATTCTAATCAAAATACCACAGTGTTTTTGGATCCGGAAATTGTGAATTGTTTGTAAAAATGTCGCAAGACCCCCCTTTCTATTTGGAAAAAAGTTGATAACACCTCTCTCTCTTTCTCTCTCTCTCTCTCTATGATCATGGCATTTGCTTCCATTGAGGCGCATTAAGCCTTTGATAACACCTTTTGGCGATAAAAATTTACCAAAAATGATTACTTCTTACTAAAATTTTGTCCGACTCTGATATCCTGCCTCATTCAAAATCTGTGAAGGGAGACTATTTACTTCTACACTGTAGATATATTTGGGATGTTGGATCCATTAGTAAGTATTGAATCAAATAGTAAATTCATTAGTAGAGAAAAAATTACACAGCCTTAAATATCAATGTTATGAAATGAAACTTAGATAATTTCTGATTTTACCAAGTTTTGAAAGTGGGAGATTGATATACATTATCTCAGTCGGATCACAGTAATGTTTGCTGTGAGTATTTACAACTTACAACAGCCCTTTTTACAGGATAAGTTGAAATGTAAGTACAAATGAATCTGTTACACCGAAAGAGTTATAATAATATAGACACACCCGCACGCGCACACACCGACACGCGCACACATCGACACACACACACATACAAATGTGCCTAAATGATGCACACCCTTTTTTTTGTATCAGGCTGCACAATTAAGAGTAGCACATGAAACAAATGAATCACCATGATTGATGTATGCAAATCAACACAACTGAATGCGAATTGAAATACTCCAAACAATACACAGACACTAAAATATGAAAAACCATCAACACCATAAAATTACAGAAACATTCAAAATGCATAATTTTTCAAAACTCAGTTACTCAAACAATCCATAGAAAATAAGCGTAGCGTTCATTGGGTCGAGATGGTATAGTACGCTCCCTACTTTTTTAGGGGTATGCGCGCACTACTTCAGTATGAAAGAAAAGGATGGTTGGTAAGTAAAACACAGTTTCTCTAGTTTCGTGCTCAAAATGTTGTGGGAATAATATATGAATTGAGAGAGATTGGAACTTGGGAGTTTTACACCCTATTTACTGATTCAATCGAGAATAATTGCAATTTCATTCAGATCTTTCGGTTTACCCACAATAAAATTGAATAACTTGTGAATGTTGTTTATATGAAACGTCTAAGGAGAATAAGAAATATCAGAGAGATTCTTCGGATGATGCGTATTTAAGAGCTCAGGGTAGTTTTGCACCAACGTAATTAGTTTAGCTAACTGAACTGAAACGGTGAAACGACACGTTATCAAATTATTGTGAGTACTTCGGGCAGCAGATAAGTTATCAGTTGTCACATCGAGATGGCCTAAACATTTTTTTGTGACTTTTCGAGCACGGCGGATTGACCTGTCGAGATCGTGACAGCCACATCTAGTTGCTGAGCTATCATTGAAAAATTATCACCATCAAAAAGTTTTAAAAAAAATGTTTTTTGGAAAAAACTACATAGCAAAGCATGTGTGCATAACGAAAATATAAAATATGCATAAACACATAAAGCATCGTGTTAGCTGACATCAAGTGTGTGAATGACGTAGATGCCAAAAAGTAAATTATTTATCCTTGTTTCGTTGTTGGAGTCAGTGTTTTCTCTTTAATTGTCAGTCTATAATATGTGATGTCGCAGTGATGTCACTGCGGGTGACACAGTAATAGTAACAGTAACACAGATTCACAACTTACAACTTGTAACAACGTCAACTTTACTGTTTGAATGACATGATAACAGTAAAACATTTTCATAAATATTAGCTTATTTGTTAAACGCAAACATGGCAGAATCACTCCAACAACAATTGGTTGATTCAACATGCAAAGAAAATGGTAGGATATTTTTCATTTCCCTGTGCATTTTATATAATTTTCTTCTACAGATGAGAATATGGAATGTGCAGTATGTCTTCAACGCTGCATCCATCCAGCTCAGTTACCCTGCGGCCACATATTCTGCTTTTTATGTGTGAAAGGATTTGCCAATCAGAATAAAAAGTGTGCTATGTGCAGACAAGAAATACCAAAAGATTTCATTGATCAGCCAAACCTCCTGGAATTCTCTATTCCTTTGGAAAACAGTGAAGGTGTTGAAAACGATTTCCAATGGTTTTATGAGGGCAGAAATGGTAAGTTTTTCGTAAATATTGCCAACGATTTTATTACTAAGATTTAAGGTTGGTGGCAGTATGACGAAAGAGCCAGTGAAGAAATAGAAGAAGCATTCAAATTAGGCATTCCTTCTTTTGAACTAATCATATGTGGCGAACTATATGTTATTGATTTCAAACACAAATTTCAATATCCTAAGAGAAATTCTTCCAGGAAGCGATCCATCAAACGAGATAAAATTAATAATGTTGTTGTTAAAGGAGTAGCTGGGTTGCGTTGATTGTTGTGTGATATATACATGTTTTAAGTAAAGCATCAAATGTTTTTTGAAATGGATTGAAATGGTGGCAACTGTAAGATGTAGAGAGTTCTTGAGGAATCTGTGAAAGATTGTCTTTGAGATGGACGTGTGTACTAATCAAGTCATAAGTTGTTGCAAGTTCTAACTATCACGAATCCATGGTTTCTATTTGTTTCTACTAAAAACATAACTTTTTGTGCACATAGATATTACGACGAAGTATTTACAGTATGGATGTGAAAACTTTCTTCACTCTTATTTTTTTAACAGAACAGAAGATATCAATATCCGACAAAATTAACATAAGAAGACATCAATTTCAGTGCTTTATGAACTTTTTTCAATTGGAATGGAAAGTATTGTGATACCTTATTTTATAGGTATTTGAATCATTAGAAACACTTGAATGTTTGTATAATAAATTTTTCGAGTCGTACTGCTGAAACAATAGCAAATGATCTCAACTTCATATCCCTGCAGAATTTACAAGTTTTTCTTAAGATTAAATAATTCAATACAATATTGAATAAATCTTCAAGAATAATTTTAGAATTTCCACACCCACAGATTGGGATTTTCTAGAAACATAGTGATGTTAATCATGCAGTGTTTGACTATTCATGTCTAAAATGTCTTAAGTGGGTTCAATACAAATATAGTTGGTAAAATAAAGGAAAAACCAAACATTTTTCAAAAAATTGAAAGAAACCAAGTAGGATATCCTGAGACACAAATGTTTGAAAACTGACATAAAAATAGCCTCACGTAGACAGAAGACTCTATGAAATCTGATCCATTAGAGTTCTGGTCATATATACAGAGTAAAAAAGGAAGTTGAAGAATTCCCAGGCTGCTCTATATGGATGGAATAGAATATAGAAACCAATCAAGTACTTATTGACAAAAACTACATGAAAACTAGATGTAATAAAAAGCAATATAAAGCAGCAACTATAAAACTGTTGCGAAATAATACTCATGATGAGATAATAATGAAACAATTGATAAACTAAAGTGACAAATAATACAGTACAATTAAATAAACAAGAATAGAATAAAAGTGATGTCACAACTTACATGCTATGATTTAAATTGAGTTGAAATATAAAAAAAAAATGAAATTTGAACTTGAATGGAATATTTGAGTGATTGAGTTTATTCAAATGCTATAGATTCTATATTATAGAGGAATACCAAGTGAAATGTTTGGTGCTTTGTTCACGAGATGGAGCTGTAGTTTCATACATGCAGTATGAGGAACATCTGCTAGAATAACCTCTGTGAGGTATCTTCCATAAATGTCTGTCGGATATAATTCAATGACCAGCGTGGTATTAGCCGGGGAAGTAGTTGTTTTCCGGCAGGCATTTACCAGAAACTACGGTGTAGTTTCTGGTAAATTCTAGTGGTAGTGGTGAGATGAATATTTCGAGATTTTATTTTGAAATATTAATTTTCTAGTATGTATGTATCTCTCTTCGATACAGTCTTCAGACATGGTTTAAAATGAAAAAATAAGCGAGTGAAATATCCATTGTAATCGACTAATTCGAATCAAGTTACATTCTCACACACATAAGCAGTGCCGTGCCTGTCTGCATTTTGAAAGAAATACTATCCTCGACAGGAAGCTAACATGGAATTCCCACCTACAGAGTAGAGCAATAAGAGAATATGTGGCTTATGAGTAATGTCGGAGGACAGTGGGACGCGTATGGGGTCTTTCACCTCGTGTGGTCACCTGGATCTACACTGCAATAATAAGACTTATGTTAACGACCGAAAGTTCTACAAGCAACGGCCATCCAAAAATATTAAAAAATACAGCCATGAGAACAACACCAATCGCGGCAATGGAATTAATTACGGGTCTGACCTCTCTGGACCTGTACGTTAAGGAGGTTTCGTTAATGGCCATGTCATTATTGCGCATGGCTGGTGTAAACCTCGAAGTAGGAATGGGTCAATTCAGGCTGAGCCTATGGCGAGAAGCGCTTACTGCGCAACCTCTGCTGCAGGCAACCAGTGATGCAATTGAACCCAGGTTTGTGTTTAATAAACCCTACAAAATACAAATAAAACAGAACGCAGAACACAGAATACCAAACAAGGCTCAGGATGTGGTATGTACTTCAGATCACTAAGCCTAAGGATTAAGTGGGGAATGGGAAAATACCAGCTTCGTCCAAACAGAACTGGCTGGTATCTCAATCGCCACAAAAGAAATAACCAGGAAAGGAATTTCTGGCAAAAACATAACAATCTGATTGATTGATAATATGTTTATTGTTTAAGAAAAAAATTCTTGTTACAAACACAATGTCATAAATAAATATCAATATAAACATGAAGTATAAGATGTGAAGTATAAGTGTATAAAATATAAATGATTAAAATAAAATGTAAACTATATATACATACATATGCAGAGGTTACATGACAAGAACTAGGACATCGAATAAAAATATATGTTTCACACACAGTACAATAGCAGTTTCATCACATTCTAAATTGCAGGGCATCATTAAAATATTCTTGTAGGTCATAATAGGCTTTATCACTTAATAGTTTTGTACATTTCTTTCTAAATATGATGAAAGGAGTCTCTTTGATTTCATTGGGAAGTTTATTGTATATCCTGATTCCATTATATATCAACGAGTTTTGAACCAAACATGTTTTTGGAATTGGTAGACTCAGTTAATTTGACCGCCTTGTGTGGTCTGTGGCTGTATCTGTAGATTCATAGTTCTATTTTTTTGTATAATTGACACGGTTTCCAATATAAATATTGAAATAATCGTGAGGATTCTATTTTCTCGAAAAAGGGGTTTACATGAATCCCGCCATTTCGCTTTACATAAGTACCTGATAGTCCTTTTCTGCAAGACAAAAACCTACTGCATAAGTTGTTTACTGCAAACAACCCAAAAGGGTATTAAGGCACAGTACACTACTTTCGCTGCAGCAAACCCCAGTTCCTTTGAGATGTTTCTCAGTGCAAAACATCCTGATTCCAATATTTTGTTGATGTGTGCAATATACTGAGAGAATTTTAAATTTTCATCTAAATAAATTCCCAAAAATTTCAAAGTGGAGTTATTTTTTATTGTTATTGTCTACGGCGATATCAGGTATCCTACACTTGAATGCTAATATATTTGTTTTGCTAGTATTCAATGATAGAAGATTCGAATGAAACCAATTCTTCACTTTTTTCATGTCTTGGCACATTTTGTTATTCAATCTGTTTTTGTCCTCGTCATGCTACACTAATGTGGTGTCGTTAGCAAATAAGGTAAAGCTTCCTGTAATCGATATGTTGGTCAAATCATTAATGTATAACAGAAACAGTATAGGACCTAACACAGAGCCTTGAGGTACTCCACAATTTATCTCTATCACGTCCGAGTTAGATGATGAACTTAAAAATTGTTTTCTGTCAGAAAGGTATGAACTAATCCAAATATGACTGTTGTCCCTAAAACCATATCTTATGAGTTTCTGAAGCAATATGCTGTGATTGACACAGTCAAAAGCTTTGGATAAGTCACAAAGCACTGCTGCAGTGGCTTCTCCGCTGTTGCTTTCATTATATACCAATTGCAATACTGTTGCTACAGCTTCTCTTGTACTCTTAAAATTCTGAAAGCCATACTGATGTGTACTCAATATCCCATTACTGATCATAAATTCCATTATTCTTTTTTTTTACCAGTTTTTCAATTATTTTTGCTAAGGTTGGGATGAGCGATATAGGCCTAAAGTTTGCTGGATCTTCATTGTTGCCGCCTTTATGGAGAGGAATGACAACCGAGGTTTTGAGAGTTGAAGGAAATGTTCCTTGCTCAAAGGAGTTGTTAATCAGTTCAACAAGTATATTGAGCGCAGTCTCTGGAAGACTTTTGAGAATTTTAATAGAAATTATATCAAAGCCAGATGCTTTCTTGTTTTTTATGTTTCCTATCACTTCTTTCAATTCATTTATACTGATGTGGTGTAATGAAAAGGTACTGTCTACATAGATATCACTGAGATATTCTAGGGGATCGTAAGTAGGTACAATGTTTTGACTGAGTTTTGTTGCGACAGAGCAGAAATAGCTGTTTGAAAGGTCCGGATTCAAGGATGTATCTGTTGTGTTTGTATACATATTTTTTCCTCTGAGTTCGTTGATTATTGACCAGCTTTCTTTAGCTTTGTTGTCAGCTTCCGTGTTTCTGTTACTATAGTATAAGCTTTTTGCAGCCCTGATTACCTTTCTATAGACTTTCCTATAATTATTGAAGTAACAGTCAATAAATAAACTATTAATAAACTTTCTGATTTTATGAAGAGATCTTATATTGTTTGAAAAAGTTCGTATTCCCTTAGTGATGCAATGTTTCCGTTTCTTTTTGTAAATTTTTTGTTTGGGAAACGCGGTCTCAAAATGTATTCTATAGAATACCTGGAACGGTGTCTCTACTAATAACACACTATTCCAGTCAGTACATGAAGTACGGAAACTGAAGTAATGAAACCTATTATAATTTTTTGTAGGGTAGATTCTACCAAGGTGAGATTTTTTCTTAATTTGAGCAATTTGAGTTTTATTTTACTAAATATTGCCTCATGGTCAGATAAATTGGAGGGCATGATTAAACCGATATTAAAATCCCAGCTAGAATAATGTTAGCCTTTAATTGAAATTTGAAACACCAACTGGGTGTTATA